GCAACAACGAAAATGTGGTTCGTGCATTGATTGCTGCCGGTGCTGATGTCAATAAAACTGACAATTTTGGCAAAACTGCTTTGTTTTATGCCGTCCAGCAAAGCAACAACGAAAATGTGGTTTGTGCATTGATTGATGCTGGTACTGATGTCAATAAAACCTACAATCTTGGCAAAACTGCTTTGTTTTATGCCGTCGAACAAAGTAACAACGAAAAGGTGGTTCGTGCATTGATTGAGAATGGAAATGCTTTGGTAAACATCAGAGACTGCGATGGTAGGATTCCACTGTTTTATGCTTGGAAATACCCAGCTACATTTGGTTATATTCTTCGTAAAATGAATCATGTATATTCGAACTTGAAAGACAATTTCAATGTCAATATCTTTACATTTATAATCGAAAATGTCGTGTTACATTTTTCTTTAGTAAATGTAGGTGCTGTGTCTAAACACTTGGCCCTCCTTATCAAAAATGGAGTAAAAAAGAACGAGATTGTAAAGACATTGTTAAACTTAATGTTTAGCAAAATGCCATTAGTACCCGTGTCTAATTCAACTGTCTCCACTTTGAGTACAGTCATAGGTTTAGCATCTGTGTGTGAAAAGCTTCTTGATTTCTATAGTAGCTCTCGCAWGAAATTAAAAGAGATTGTGATGATGTTAGAGGGCGACCGGAAAAACCAAGATACGTTAAAAGTTCTTCAGTTGTTAGTTGAACTTGGTGCTGATCCAAGCAGTGCCGATTTACATGGAAATACTGCGCTACACTATGTCACTCGTTTGCCATTGTTTGACATACCTCAAGATATTGTAATGAATATGTGCTACAAACTATTCGAGTTAGGAGCATCATTTGACATAAAAAACCAAGAAGGTCAGACACCTTGCTCGTATGGTGTGATTGCTCWATCGAGTTCAAGTATAAATCTATCGCCGTTCAAGACGCTGGTACAAGTCTGCACCTTTCTTGTGGAACGTGGTTTCAGTACAGAAGAAACGTCAAGAATTAGTGAAGAATCGTTTTATCATCTGATGATGAAGCTTTTTAAGGAGATTCTAGAGAAAGATTCTAGAGAAAAAGGAGATATGCTTCAAGAAACCATGAAACTTTTGCAAGTTTTTCCTACAAAAGGAAACATTGTTAACAAACCTGATAGGAATCTTAACTCACCAGTTCACCTTTGGGCATCCCTTGTATTAAGATCACCTCAAGATTACACCAGTAATATCGCTGCAAATTATACTTTTGAGACACTTTTAAAAGAGATCCTACAGAACCTCGTGAAACGTGGAGTGAAACTGAATCCTAGAAATGAAAACGAGGAAACCCCATTATATCTGTGCCAAACATGGAGTGCTGTCAAGCTCTTGTTAGATGCTGGAGCAAACCCAAACGATGTGGATTCATCAGGGCGTTCAGCTCTTCTCGTGGCAGCGAACAAAAGAAACCTATATATAAGTCCAAATGGTTTGTATCCAGACGTCACAGAAGATCCAAAACTATTTTGGAAAACAGCTATTGAAAAAAGACTTGATCCGTGGACAGTTGACCAGCATGGTGATTCTGTTTTAAGCAGTTTGGTCCAGTCTGGAGACTACCTTCTTTCTAAGGCATTAGTTGACGTGGCCTGTGAGGAAAACTGCACTCAATCTGAGACCATCTTCGTTTCTCTTCTGAATTCTATCTGTAAAGACGATTCAACAAGAAACCATTGGAAGTCAGTACTTGTGCAAGACTTCTTGAAATCCAGAACTTTTTCGACCACCACAATAAGTACTGGACTTCGCTTTTGCTGCATAAATTTGATTGCAGAATTTCCGGCAGATACCCAGGGCACTGGACTAAGTCTTGATGACGATGAATTGGTGATGAATGAAGAACAGTTTATGACCAGTGAAGTCCAAGATTCTGTCCACTATGAAATCGCTCACCTGCTACTTTGTTATGGAGCTGATCCTAGAAGTGTCGATGCATCAGGCAAGTCTTGTGTGGACATAGCAGAAACGTGTACTGTACTGAGAGACCTCCTGACAAAACCTATAGATATCAATACGATTGCGGTAGTCATTCCTTGGACTTCGATTTCCAATAAGTATGAGGATAGACTAGCCAAGGTTGCCAGACGACAAGAAATTGATGTGATTGATTCGTTTTGGTTTCACAAAGACAACATAGGGAGTGGATCTTATGGTCTCGTTTTTGCAGGCATCAATGAAAAAGACGGAAGAGAAGTGGCGATTAAGCGTGTCGAGACTTTGCGAATGAATGGACCAGAAGACAAACGAGAAATTACAAATCTCACTAAACTTGCAGACTGCGAACAAGTAGTTCGTTATTTGCATTTCTACGAGAAAAGTCATTTTTCTTTCGTAGTTTTGGAACTTATGGAAGGAAATCTTGACAATTACCTTAAAGAGTTCTTTAGCGCCAACAAAGCTGTTGAACTCTGTAGAGATGTAGTTTCGGGAATGAAGTTCTTGCACGAGCAGAATATAATTCATCGCGATCTTAAGCCGACCAATATTCTCTACAAAAGATACCCAAAACTATGCTTGAAGATTGCCGATTTTGGTCTAAGCCAATGTATTGATATTCTGGGTAAAACTACGGTGTATGGCACGAATGCTGGTACAAGATGCTGGATTGCTCCAGAAGTACTCAAGTCTGGAAACCACACCAAGTCATCGGACTTGTTTTCCTGTGGATTACTACTTCATTACATTTTGTCAGTTCAAAGGCACCCATTTTCTCCAGTGGATTATGCTGATAAAGCAGAATCTCAAGTTGCTTTTGAAACGRAGTCTAACGTAGTGAATGCAAAAATGGAAGGATGGGATAGCTCTCTTTCTCCTGAAGCCACTGATCTCGTGAAGAATATGCTCGCTGACGAGGTGAATATCATCGACAGGCCAACAGCAAAAGACGCACTACAGTATCCATTGTTCTGGTCGAAAGAGAAAAAGATAGATGTTCTTTGTGCTGTTGGTAATCAGCCAGAATTTGAATGCCCACGTGCTAGAAGAACTCATCCTTTAACTACAGTCGAGACAGACCTGCAAAACAACGTCGGTTCGATAATCAGATATGGGACGTGGAATGACCCGAGGTATGCAAACATGSCATTTATTTACAGAGAAATGACTACAACAAGGCGAAGGACTTACGATACTTCCTCTGTAATAGAACTAGTGCGATTCATACGTAATGCCTACTCACACGTCTCTGCGGATACAAGACCAGGACCATTCAGACAAATGTTACTGGAGGACTTCGTGTTCCTTGAGTATTTCCCCCAACTTGTGGTGGATGTTTTCAAGGCTGTAATAACTTATGGATGGGATCAAACAAAAGATGAAGTGAAGTACGCGATCAACAAGTAGTGTGCAAGGTTAGTGTCTTCCTTTCTAATTAACCATACCTCCTATAATTGTTATCTTTGAGAGATGCCTGGAGACATGCGCACTGCATCCATTGACAACCCTTTTTTAAACGTCATTCGAATTCGAACGGGATTCAATGTTTGAAATAAAATGAAAGAGCTTGTTTTATTTTTGTGTTGTAATTTACCAACAACGTTCCTGTGTTTATAGAAAGAGTTCTGTGCACCATTGGCTGCCATGTCTTTGGTTACTTGGTTCATTTGGGAATGAATGCAAACCACAGAAGTGAAAAATGACAAAGAAACATTTTGGTAGAAAGGAAACTCCATTACTCAACCGATTAAAAAAAAAGACGAACAGTCATCTCGTCTCCACACATTACACATTACAGCGCAACTCGCAAAAGTATGACTACATTTAATGTATTCACATGCTTCTATGCACGTGTTTTTTGCTGTCAAACGAGCTTTTACACGCCTTATTTGTCGGTTTAACGTACGAGAGCACGTGTATAAAAGTCATTAAATTTGGTCATACTACTGCGCCGCGTTGCGCTGTAAATCTATTCTCACGCAACAAATAAAAACAAATGCTCTAACTCGAACGCACCCATTGTAAAATAAATAGACTCAGTGAACTTCAAGCTGGACTGAAACAACGTCTTGCCATAGTAACATAGGGACTTTAAGAATCGCAAAATCTGCGACGGCGACGTCAACCGGAAGTGTAAATTACTTCACTTTTGCGTTTCGAGTCTTTAAGATCTGTCTTCCCTGTGGATGAGTTGACTTTATACTGACAATGATTTGAATGAAATCTTCAATGAAAAGAACCCCAAAGAGATATTATTTACACTACCGGTTGACGTCGCCGTTGTAGATCTTAAAGTCCCTAATAATAGCCTGATCACAACGCAGTGCACTATTTAGTGCAGTTTTCGTATGACTGTGAAAAGCTCAGTAACGTAAGCGTGAGGTGCCGTGACCGTGATGCTTTCTGGAATTTTAATTGGCTGATTTTTTCATGCGCAATGTGATTGGTCTGGCATTGCCCTGACCTTGGCGTGACCGTGTCCGCGCCGTGAATTTTTCACAGTCATACGAAAACTGCACTACTTATTTCTGTATATAGGATAAATATGTGTGTGTGTGCCGGGGAGGGGGGTTGCACTGTGGAGTATGTAGTAGTAATTAGATTAATTTTCATCATTGAAACTTTAACTGACGACTTGCACTAGAAGGTCACGTGACCCTGCCTCCCTTGAAACGAGTAGTTTTGTCAAAATTAAAATTAAAAGCATCTCGGCATTAGTTGGGAGACGGAGTTTCAGCTCTTAACAAGTGAAACAGACGAAATGGCATTAGATATGAAATTGAATGGTTTTCCCTATTCCCTACTGTATCCCTGGACCATCAAACACTCAAACAACTTTATTCTGATACATTGGAAGCTGACTGCTGGCATGCAATTAGAAACTGACCAAAGAACGGGACAAAATGAAAATGAATAGGGGTAGTTATAAGCCTAAAGACTTTGAAACAAGTAACCGATTCTCAATAGAATCCTCCACATACCCATCCTTAGCGGACTCTGACTTCCATCGACCGTGTCGCTTCCAACAACGGTCTGARACTCGGGCGTTAGCAGCTGACGTAGCTCCACCTGCCCTGAACGAATGTAACGAAAGATTTGCATCATTTCCAGCAAACTGTTTAACCAAACCGATAATGGATTCCTTAGCTCTAGTGTAACTTAACGGCTTGCTTTTATGAACAAGCATAAAACCCCTGCTAGTCTTAACTATAGGTTTAAACACATAATCTGGGTTTGAACCGAGCCCCGTGATGCCTGCCAATTGAATATATTTTTCCAAATTGTAAACTGGACAAGTGGGATTGCCTGTCCTACTAATGACTACTTCCTGAC